TGAATAGACTCACTACATAGCAATTCACATAGAGATGTGAAAGACATTGCTTCACTAGTTGAATTTTACAGGAATTTTATGAAGACCTAGTTGTACGATCCCAAAGTGGCATCTACTCTTTCAAAACATGTCACTGAATCTTTAATGCTCGAGCTATCAGGACTTCAATTTAATATCTCATCAAAAAGGCTGAACCCCCAAAGCAAGTTCCCTGGTTCACCATGCTGAGGATTTAGTTTTGTAAATTCTGATCTTGAGGGAAAGGTGTGACCCACTAGTCTACTAACATCACTTGTAGCAGCAACCTGGCTTTCCTTAGAGGTCTCTCATTTTTGTACTAACCAGAACAAACCTTCCGTAGCGTCTGATATCTGATAAGATCAGAATAAATTTTAATTTGAACTTTCATGAAATAACCTACAAAAAATTTACTCTTAACTCTTTGGTAGAACTGTTATGATGCAGCTGTGTCTTGTGCATAGTCGTTATCAGGTCAGACTCCAAGTACTAGAGATTAGAGAGTTTTGGAGGCTTCTGATGACATCTGAATATGGATGATTCGAAGCTCTCCAGAGACAATCTGAAGGTGTGGTAGTAAGCAATAGTTATATACTGGTAGTGATGGGATCACTTACAATAGAATTGAGCTGCCAACTAACAATAGTTCAGTATTGCTGTATTAATTGCAGCAGAGATTGACGTTGGGCTGGTAGTAGTTGTTGATGGTCACAGCCGGGTTTAAGTGATGACTGGTAGAAGGCACAGCAGTGGTGGATTGCCAACTCAACCAAGACCAGTGTAGGTGAAGGGTCCATGCCTGGAGCTGGGAAAGGAGATCACACTTCTTATGGGTGGCCGACCATGAGTGTGCCAGGAGCCAGACTGGTCAGGGCACATGCCAGAGTCCAGCCCAAACTTAAAGTGCAGGGTGGACTGTAGGAAGCTTTTCACTTGACTGGTCCAAAACGGTACAGTAAGTGGCTGCCTGCTTGTAGCGGACTGGAGTAACTACAAAAGTTTCAGCAGTGTTTGGCTGCCAACTGGTACAGGCTGGAACTGTCTGTGTGGGCTGAAGCAGAGACTGGCTTGCAGAGGACCGGGGTAGCTGTAAAAATTGCAACAGGCTAGCGCGGAAATTGGAGAGCTTGCATCTTGAGCCAAACAGGACAGAACATTCATCATTGGGGTGGTTTACTGATAACACATCAGGAGTGAGGAAAAGAGATCCAGAGATCTAAGCGTGTGTGGTCAGGATGGATTGATGTTTACTTGCTCTTGATTTGTAGCAGAGCGAAAGGGCTGTGATTGTCACAGTGGACTTCTGCAGTGAGTGGCTGCTGGCTCGTAGTGGGCCGGAGAAGCTGTAGAAGTCAAAGCCGAGCTAGTAAAGCTGCAGGAGCCTCAGCAGGCAGGTGTGGGGACTGGCTGTTTCTTGTAGCAGACCAGCTATCTTTAGAAGTTGCAGAGGTTGGCTGCCATCTTGTAGCAGACTGGTGAGGCTGTTTAAGTTGCAGCACGTTAATGAAGCTGAAGTGACTGCAGCACGCTGGTGCAGACTAGCTGCTGCCTTGTAGTGGATTAGAGAAACTTCCGGCATTGCAGCGGGCCCAGGCAGTGATTGGCTTTTGGCTTATAGCTGTTATGAATGGCTGTAGAAGTCTCAACAGGGTCTGCCACCTTATAACAGGTCAGTAAGGCTTTAAAAGCCACAGCAGAGACCATGTACCCACTGTTAGATGCCAAAACATTTTCTGCAGAGGTAGGTTGCTGACTGGAGTAGCAG